CACATAGTCATTGTGTTGGAATGAAGGCACAACGTAACCTCAGGTCTTTTGGCAAAACATGAAAGAACTTCTCTCCTTTTACAAAGGAGCTAGCTGCCTTCATTATAATCTCATTCCCTTGCTTTTTTAGGCAGATTTATTGTTGATGTTCTGTCTGTAGATGTGTGACAAATAAAGAGGAGAGAGGATTAGATGTGGACGTTAGTGTGTTGCTGCCTTGCCTGGACTTGTGGACTCGCTTTTGTTAGCAGCTGAAAAGTGTTAATGTGACTCACTTTGCCCATCCAGGGTTTTTGTTTTCTTTTAATTTTTTTTGTGAATGGCCTAAATTTTACTTATGTCACCTTTAATTTCTATATATTAATCAATCCTACATTTACTGAACAGAAGTATTTTTAGCACGCCCTGCACTTTTCTTCTTATCTTTTTAAACATGTCAAGGAGATGTTTGATGCATAAAAAATGTCTGCTACATTTGCAATGAAGAACACAGAAGTCAAATAAAAACCCCATTAGGCACCATTACAGCGGATTTAATAACGAAATCGCTTTACATGGTTTAATGTTCGCAACACTGAAATAAAACATCTCTGGGTTTTTTACGAGGTCAAAGCCATTTAAATATTTGAAGTTATATAAGCTTTATATAAACATCTGATGTAATAAGTCTATTTTTAATATTGTTTATGAAGTAGGGGTGTAACAATTAATCGAGAATGGATTATTAATCTATTATAACTCCTTTGAATATGAATCGATTCACAAAAATGAATGAAACGATTTCATTGTTATTTCAAGTTATGTCTAAGACAAAGTCAGTTTGATACTTGATAACTTTTGGTCACAAAAGGATTTGTGATGACATTTTTGTTTATTTTGAAATTCTATACTGTTACTATAACAGATAGTTACAGTTTGATACAAGGACAAAAATGCTGCTGGTAAAAGAAAAGAAAAATATTTGGTTATAAAAAGGCTACAATTTGTTTTGTTGAAAAAAAAACTAAAATAATCGTATTCATGAACATAAAATCGATGATTTATCTGAACCAGCTTGAATGAATCACTACGTCCATATTTACTTTATTAAAATATAGAAAAATTCAAGCAGAGAAACAGCAGGTTATTTGGTGATGGAGTGGTGGGAGGCACCCCCGTTTTTTAATGTTAAAATGGTTCAGTCCTGGATCTGAACAGCCAATGAAAAGAGAGACAACTAATGTAGTTGACCAAATAGTACAAAAACAGATACAACTTCTGTTCAGTCAAACATTGGAACATGTCAAAGTCCCATGTCTTAGTCACTTCTGGCTTTCTAAAAGCTCCTACCTTGGTCCATGGAAAGCAGATTCTGTTCTGGCAATTTTATCTGTTTTCCACCCGTCGCTCTCCAATTTACACTGGCTTTGCCTTCGAACAGTCACGCCGTGGTGTTGCAGCTTAGTGCAGAGAGCTTTATGAAAAGGGGAAGGATGGAAAATGGGAAAGGTTACAGGAGATGAGTTTAGCAATGATTCAGCAGAGGAAGCAAAGAAGGGAGAATGCTAGGAACCAAAAGCAGGAACAGGAAAGGGAATGGAAGTAGATGAAGGAGGTGGAAGACTTTTAATACATTGAAAGAAAAAGAAATATCCTCTTTGGAGCAGCTCTAAGGAATGTTCTAACAGTGTTACCACCTTTAGACACCTGTTTTCAGAGAAAAAGTCTACAGTTTTATTTCTGAGAGTTTCATTAAATCTGATCACCGCTTCATGAGCTTGGCATAAACAGGAAACACATGTGGAAGAAAGACTTGAATCTTTGAATATTTCTGTTTGCCAAAAGTTAAACTGGATTTTGGATGCCTGGTTTTCCCCAAGCACTTTGGTTGCTTTTAGAGTTCCCTTTTGAACTACCTGTTATTGGAAAATCTGTAGAAGCCCATCAGTCAGCCCTCACCAAGCCTGCCTTTTGTCACTGCCTCTAAAAGCCTTTCCCCTCCTCTCCGTTCTCACTTCTCTGTGTCCTAAAGCCAAGAGGAGGCTCAGGAACAAGTCAGGCGTTGCGTTTGATTGCAAAGGCTGATCTCCTGCTGCAGAATAATAGGCTTCCTCTACTGGCATTATTAACAGACTTATTATAACAAGATTACCCCACCACCACCAAAGAACCCACTTCAGGATCCCGTTAGAAAGCTACCTGGGAAATTCTTTCTCCTGTCAGCCCGACTAAGTCATTCTGGGCCAGTTGCTGATATGTGAAGAGGAAACTCCCACAAGCCCTGGGTGTATTTCCCGTGTCTGACAGAAACAGTGAGGCTGCCTCTAAACTGTTCAGCATCAAAATGCATGCCGTCATAAAGTGGACTATATTGTTTGTAAGCAAAATATTTCATGACCCAGTGGATAGATTTTAACGTAACTTTCTGAAAACCATCATTTGTTACCTCTAAAACTGCTTACTTAGGGCCGAGCTGATTCAAGGTAGATATTGAGCTAGAATTCATCAGATTCTTTGTTTTGCTTTCGTTTAAACATAAAATCAAATGCTTCCATGAAAGGCAATCATAATGATTATCAGGTAGCAGAAGTGCTATATTTAGTGGTGATGGCTGTTTTTGTGCTGCTGACAGCAGTGCGACGAAGTGTTGAGGGCAGATTGAGTGAAAGTAAAAGTATTTTCATTTTCTCAAAGGATTGTTTCCAGGAGGAGAACGGGGCTTCAATAACTCTAAGAAACAACTAGTGAGAAACATCAGAGGGAGATATTTGCTTTAGAGATTTGTTGCCAGAGTAGCAAGAAAAAAAAAAAAAAAAACCTCCGGTGGAGGTCACAAAGGTGGAGGAAAGAGTCAAACCAGCTCCCTGCATCTCCTCAGGAGGTCACAGGGTAACAGCTCAGAGGGGGTGGTGGTTTATGGTTGCAGAGGGTTGTTAATTCTATTATCCTCGCCTGAGAGGTCCTTGTCAGAGCTTAAAGGGAAGAAGAGAAGGAGGCATAAAAGGTAACGGAGGTTGTGAGCCTATTTTGGCATTGAAAGTAATCACATACCACACAAATCGTTATCTTCTTGACTCATGCATGCTCACAGTCTCCTCCTTTAACTCCCACCACTCCTCCTATTCACAGACCTCTTCAGATGGACCAAATAAACCAAACTGGCAAGAACCAAAGCATTCTTGAAGAAATGCATCCATTATGTCATGTCATGTCATATCTTTATACTAAAATCATTTTATGCTGACACACAAGGGAGTTACAGCTGTTTAGGTCAAACATTGTAAAGGATGTTAGGCACAAATCTCATGCAATATAGAGGGTTTTCACTCGATGTTGTCAAGCTGGAAGCATACCAAAGTTAGCCACGCCGGTGGCATTGCAGTGTTAGGCAAAGGCTTGTGTAGTAGTGTAGTGTCGTATTTTTCCATGGGGAAAAAGCTGATTGTTAAAGTAACGTGTTTACAATGCAAGTATCTCCGTCCGTGCAAAGGGTCTGTTGTGAGATCTTGCGAAATGTGATTGAGCTCAGAGAATGTGTTGTGGATGGGCCTCCGCTAATAACGCCAAATTTTAGCTTGCAGCCTGAATAAAATGATTGAGTCACAAGCATTAGTCGAGGCAGCCATCTTGAGTCAGACTGACTCCAAAAGTGAAATCAGTTGTAGATGCTGCTTTTGTATGAATGAACTCGTGGCCTTCGTGTCTTTGAGGATCAGTTTGTTTGACTGCGTCGGTACTGGCAGACTGTTTAGGATTATTCCACTTGGCTGGATGGGACGGAGCTTGGCACATCAGCCTGGAGATGTGTGCCTGCTGTCGGTCCCTCTCCTGGACTGCTCACACTGATAACACAGTCCACAAACAGCGGACTCGATCTACTGCTATGAACCCGGTTAATAATATCTGCCCGTGTTCCTTCTCCTAAAAATAGTTCAGCGCACAACTGAGGCTATTGTTCCGTTTTCTTCAAAGCTGTTTTGATGAGTGTGAGTGTGACTGAAAACTGGTGACAGAATTTTAAAGCTCTTATGTTACAGATTATGTTTTCACGGTTTTAGGGCTTTGGGTCAGATGATAACCTTCTTTCCTATTCATCTTTTGGTGCCTCCTTTTTTCCTTCCTATTCCCTTTTAAATAACTGTCTAATTTAGTAGTGTCACAGTGAATTTTGTAAGAGACAAATTGTTGAAGTGTGTATTCTTCCTTTGTTTGATTATGGTGACATAATTTATCGCCACGCTTGCGAGGGAAGTCTTCAAAAATTGGATTCAATCTACCATTCTGCCATTCAATTTGTTACAAATGCTCCGTAAAAAACTCACTGCTGTCTGTTATACTCTCAAGTGAATTGGCTTTCCTTGCAGTCTCACCGTAATGCCCATTGGCTCTTGTTCATTAACAAAACCCTTCTAGGTCTTTCACCTCCCTATTTAAATCAGTTACTACAACAAGAACCCCACTCAAGGTACAATACTCCCACCTTATTAGATCGAAAATCCCAAAAACCAAGTCTTACTTTGGCCTCATGTCTTTCCGCTTTGCTGCAGCAAATGATTGGATCTTCTATCAAAATACACTGCATCTTGGCACTTTGATTTCTATTCCTGCTTTTAAACACAGACTGAAGGATCTTTTTAAGGAGTCATGTAACTGTTTTAAAGAATGAATGCACTGCTCATTTTATATGTTTTATGTACTGTTTATGTTGTTTCCCTTTCCCCATCTTCCCATTTTTAAGGGTTTGAAGTGTTTTTGTATTCTCGGGCCAACATTGTAAATACGAAACTGTTCTTAATGTTTTGCCTGTTGAAATAAAGGTTAAATAAAAAAAACAAATTGGAAATTAAAGGTTTTTTACATCCACAAAAGGAAGTGTTTTCAAACAAATGTGAATTACAAAAAAACTAAGTTCCTCTCCACCACATTTAGTCAAACTTTAGGTCTTATTCATCAAGATTTACACTAAAATCAAGTTGACTTTAATGACAATTCAGTCTTCTTACCAAAGTCTTATATCTGCAATGTTTTTGTCTCTTTATTAGAGTGTGTGGTTCGTCTGATGCTGTCAGGCTGCCATGGCTCTGGTCCAGGCACTACCTGTGAGTGACCATCCCAACCCAGGTCTCGACCTCCAACAGTGCCGACCACTGCCATCCCACTCCGTGCCGGATCCCTGCTCTGGCCCCTGCGGGTCCTGCGGTTCCGACACGGCCATGGGTTCAGTCAGCAGTCTCATATCGGGGCGAACGTACCAGGAGAGGCACTGCAGGGCCGCCAGCGAACTCATCACCAAGCAGCGGCGCTCCACGCCGGCGACCAGCTGCTTCCGCCTGCAGGACAACACGCTCCGCAGCGGGAGCTCCCTGGAGCAGCTGCTGGTGATCAGCAACCAGACACAGCCTCAGGCCCAGGTTCTGCCCCCACCCCTGCCCACCAAGAAGCAGCCCCGGCCCGGAAACTCTGCCGGGACAGGTGACGGGGGAGCCGTCGCTGCAGCAGCAGGCGGCGGCAGCGGGAACTTTGGGTACATGAGCGACGAGGTGGTGCTCGGAGATTGGAACGATAACCTGGTGCTTACAGCTGCGAGTCCCTGCAGCGACTCTGAGGACCAAAAGGACAACAGGACTGCGAACGGCAACATTGGAGGACCGCCTCCCAAACTTGTCCCAGTTTCTGGACAGTTAGAGAAGGTAATCAGTAGGTTGTGTCATAGTGATAAAATGTATTAATGCATGGGCTGATCCTGTCAGAGCGGTCCTAAAAAGCACAAACCTGTAGGATTTACCTGTTAAGACAACAAAAAGACTTATAATGCATAGAAAAAAATTGGGATCTGCCAAGTTAATAAATTCAAATTCAAGAAGAGATTTAAAAATTTTGTACAGAGATTTTTAATCATAGTTCTGTGTGCAAAGAAAACCCACAGATTAAGTCACTGAGATGAAGTCAAAATCTCTCAGAAACACTAAAAAATTTATTTTGAAATTAAAAAAACATTAAATGCATAAAATCCCAACTGTTCTTTCACTCGTGAGTAAAACCCTAAATAGATTAAACTCCTTTATTTAAGGAATCACTTCACTCCTAACCCTGAACAGGAAGTCCACCTTTGTCTGACTCAGGACCCTGGCCTCGGATTTGGAGGTGCTGTAGAAATAAAATTAACATTGACATGAGTCTGACAGGGTCAGATGAATCATTTGACAGCTTCTCACCTTGCAGACGCATCATAATCAGTGTCATGTTTAATGAACTCTGAGGAAGATCATTAAAAATGCTTACATCCTCACTGTTGTATCTCCTCCATGTTCAGCTGTCTCTTGTGTTTCTCTGCCCTTTTATGATCTTTATTCAGTACTTTTTCATCCACAGATGAGCTTCGGTCAGTGTCCGATGATAGGTTTTATGGTTTTTGTATGTTTCAGAACATGGAGAAAGTACTGATCCGTCCCACAGCTTTCAAACCAGTCGTTCCCAAGAACCGTCACTCGGTGCAGTACCTGTCTCCGCGGACAGGGGGCAGCAATCTGTCTGAGAGCCAGGCCAGCCTGAACCTCCTGTTGCCCCTCGGAGCACCCAGCAGCAGCACCGGCACGAACGGTAATGTCGGAGTCAGCATTTCCAGCTCGGAGGGGAAGCAGAACTCGTACAGCGGAGGACGCAATGCTCGCAGCAGCCAGTCCTGCTCTATGTCGGACTCAGGGAGGAACTCCCTCTCCAGCCTCCCTACCCACAGCAGCACGGGCTACAGCTTGGCCCTCAGCGAGGGATCCAGCTCTGGTTCCGGGGGCCAGGTGGAGCCCGTGCCGGGTCTGGGACGCAACACTTCAGGCGGAAACGGGAGCCACGGCCACAGCAACTCGGACAGCGGGCGTTCCTCTTCCAGCAAGAGCACGGGTTCGGGGTCAGTAAGTGGGCGCGGGCAGCCCCTGTCTGACAGCGGGTCCTGTGGCCACTCGCCCCCACCGGTGGGGGGCTACGAGGACGTGGTGAGGGAGCTGGAGGAGAAGCTGAGAGAACGAGACCAGGAGCTCCAGCAGCTCCGAGAAAATCTGGATGAGAACGAAGCTGCCATTTGTCAGGTGAGACACAAACAAACGTCTTTATGTTACCTGGAAGCAAGGCGTGAAGCAGCCGACATCTAACCTCTAATTTGTGCCTTTAAGGTGTACGAGGAGAAGCAACGTCGCTGTGAACGAGAGATGGAGGAGTTGAGACAGAGCTGTGCTTCGAAGATGAAGCAGACGTCTCAGAAAGCCCAGAGAGCGCAGCAGGTGCTGCAGTTACAGGTAGGTCAAACAGGCAGGGACTGTTTCATGCTCAACATCACAATTAAACCTTTTCAACACATTTAAAGCTTTAAAGCTTCACTAATCTGTAAGAGAAAATAGTTTTTTTCCCAGGTATTATACAGCTTGTGCTTCAGCTGTTTATAAATTGGCATATCTGTTGAATTTCTGGCATCTTCTTGTTCTCAGGTATTTCAGCTGCAACAGGAGAAAAAGAAGCTGCAGGAGGACTTCTCCTCTCTGCTGCAGGACAGAGAAACGCTGGAGAGAAAGTGTGCCACCATCCAGAGGGAGCACACTCAGCTGGGGCCGTGCCTGGAGGAGACAAAGTGGGAGGTGGGTGGGAGTCTGACACTGGGAAGGTGGTAAAATCCGGGCAGTGTAATGGTTAAAAGTCTAAAATATAAAAAAAGAGAGTTTGGGAACATTTGCTCTCCTTCCATGTTTATGTCCATATTTCATTTGTGTAAAACATATAATGTGCCAAAAACAAAGATTGCGATTGATGGCTTAGTTATCCTCAGTAGATAAAACAAAAATGTTGGCCTTTAATGGATAATTAAATTCAAAACCTCAGCTTGCAATAAGCCAAAATAATTTTTTTTTTGTATTTTCATGGTTCTTATCTCACTCTAATTCTCTTCTTGTGCATCAGGTGTGTCAGAAGTCTGGAGAGATCTCCCTCCTGAAGCAGCAGCTGAAAGAAATCCAGTCAGAGCTCAGCCAGAAAGCGGGGGACATTGTGGTCTTGAAGGCCCAGCTGAGAGAAGCTCGCTCCGAGCTGCAAGCCAGTCAGGCTCGAACCCAGGACGCCCAGACCGCCCTCCGGACCAGGTCCCTGGAGCTGGAAGTCTGCAAGAACGAACTCCAGAGGCGAAAGAGCGAAGCTGAGCTTCTCCGGGAGAAAATCGGCCGTCTGGAGGAAGAGTCGGCGCGGCTCCGGGACACCCTGTCCAATCACGCCGGGCTCTCTCTAAACGGAAGCGTGACCAAGAAGGGACACTGCATGAGCCTCACCCTCCAACAGGGTAGAGGCGCGGGGGGGAGGGGAGGTCCGAGCCCCTCGGTGTACCGCGACGGAGACGACAATTATCTGGTGTGGGGCGGAGAGAGCGACGAAGCCAAGGCACAGAGGCAGAATGCAGAAACGCTGCTCGGACTCAGACAACAGGTACTGAAGTGGAGTTTGACTGCAGTGGTTCAAGCAGAACTCGCTTTTACAAAAAAAAAAAAAAAACAGCGTTCCGTGAAAAATGCAGATTTTATGTGGTCTGTTGGATGACTCTCAGCTACACCAGTTTTTTAGTTCAGTATTTGTAAAATGGACCAAATTAAATCATGTTTCCAAAAACTAACCCAGTTTTACCTGCTCGTCAGGTGGAAAGAATGAGAGCCGAGCTCATGTATGAGAGAAGGAGCAGCGAGGAGCAGCTGTCACGGTTTGAGGAGGAGAGGAGGGTGTGGCACGATGAAAAGGAAAAGGTACCCGTTTCTCATCCCTCAACTTTTTATTCTTATTTTTATTTTATTTTTTCAAGTTACGGGAAAATAATTATAATTTAAGAGGATTTTTTTATTTTGAAGTACATAAAGTTAGAACAAATATAAAATAAAAATGTGTTTCAGTATTGGGTGTTAAATCGTGGAATAATTTAAGTTATGAAATTAAGTTTAGTGACTCATTTAAGTTTTAAATAGAAGTTAAAAAGTAAAATAATTATGAGTTGTGGTTTATTGTGGTCAGTTGTAATGACGGTGTTCGTAATATATTACCGTTTTTTGCATGTATGGACAATATTAATGATTTTGTTGATAAACAATGATATTAATGATTTTTATTTTGTGTATATAAAATGGTGCATATAACCAGGATGTAGTTGAAGTATATGTGTTTTTCTTTTGTGTATTTTGTTTTGGGGAATCCATTATGAATGGTAAAGTGAGGCACAACAAGCCATTGGCTTCTGCCTCTACCTATTTGGTCATATAGGGTTAAAGTTTTGTTTGTTTTTGTGTGGAGTGCTGTTTAATGTGACCAAATAAAATCATTCATTTAGAGTCTATAAAAACCACACATTCATATTACTGTCCTGTCCACCCAGGTAATCCGTTACCAAAAGCAGCTGCAGCAGAACTACATCCAGATGTATCGTCGCAACCGCGACCTGGAGCGGGTGATGCGGGAGCTGAGCCTGGAGCTGGAGAGCAGGGACATGGAGGACTACGAGGTCCGCAGCGGCAGCAACGACATCCACTTTGAGGAAATTACTGCCACTGAGATCTGAGCAAACGGTGACGTTGGGCACGAAATGTGGCGGACGAACCAAACAGAAAAACTGCACTGTCTTCAACACCACCCGTCACTGTTAAAGGAGACAGTATCCAAAGGTGCACTCAGTACTTCCTAATACAGATATATTCCAATAAATCCTTACAAGCTGTCTCCTACAGTGTTTTATGTTGTATTTTTTTACCTCTACAAAGCCAGCACAAAGACTGTTTTTCTTCTCTGAAGAAAAAAAAATGTGGAGAGAAGCGTTTAATTCTCAGACTATTTTCAAATCAGGGTATTTAAAATCTGTAGGAACTTCAAGCAAAAAAAAAAAAAAAGATTTTACCACAGGCAGAGCAATCTGGTCTTCAGGCACTCGCAAGCATCACACACTGGGCCACCAGCATGCATCACCATGCATCAAATCGAACTGTTTATTGGCAACACAAACAACCATTTTCACCCATCCCCCAACTCCAAAAAACATCAGCATCGTTTTACTTTACAGTGTTATTTTTCAAACTAAGATTTTATTTTTCTTTTTATAGTAAATTGACTGTTAGCTATCATTTCAGAGAAATGCAACATTAAATTTCTGTCCTTTTATTCGGGATGCAGATGTTTCTTTACAGACTGGTTCTGAGCTCACGGGCTCTTGATTTCTGTCCCCAAATCCAAAACACAATTCTGATAAAACATTCTGCATTTTAATTTACATTTCCCAGACTTCAAACTGTCCCTCTGTTCCGAGAAGCTCGTATTTCGCAGTATAAGGCAGTGTAGCACGGCAGATATCGCCTCTTTATGTTCTCAAATTTTTTTCCTCCACTATTTTTATACCAGCATCTCAGCAGTTGGTATCAGGATACTAAAATAGGTTGTATTTGACCTACAGAATTACAGTCTGGAATGTGACATTGCGGATTTGTTCAAAGTTTCTGTTTTCGTTTCTTCTCACCGTCGCTCTCTTTAGTTGCCCTTTATGCAGCTGCGGGCAACTCAAAGACAAAACGACACTTTCAAAGTCTTCCCGGCCGCACCCCCTGCTGAGCTACATTCATATCTTCACTCACTGCTAAAGGCTAAAGGTAGAGCTGGAGTGGCGTGGGTGTAAGTTTTGTTTTTTAGGAGGAAAAGCAGGCTCAGGTGAGAGGAGAGTTTGCAGAGGCTTCAGCTGTGTTCACAGCTTTAAATGGGAACATTTGAAGCTGTGGGCTGCTTCTCTTGTCCTCTGATGATAAATGCAAGGCTCAGCAGGAGAGAGTTTTTATTTTGCAAAGAGTCTATATTAAAAAAATGGAAACCTATACAAAGAAGGAGAGGTTGTATATTTTTATAAATATATATATAAATATATATGATGCAGCACCTGAAGATATTTTGTTGTAATACTGATGTAAGTGTGGCTTAATATATTTCACAGTATTTCAGTGGACGGATCGGTTGCAAGACATCAGCTTTGAAAGAGTGCACCTAATACTGTAATGCATGACAAGTTAATGTTTACATTATATACTCTGTGTTACATGGACAAACTTACTAAAAGCTGAAACTGAAGGGAGGTTTTCTGCTTTTTTTAGGGCCACGGTGCCAAATTGACTTTTCTCAGAATTCTGACTTTAATCGCAGGATTTTGATTTTAAATTCTGAGTTTAAAGTCCGAAATCTAAAAAAAAATATATATATATCACTGTGACTCTAATCCTGTTCAAAACAGTTGTCTCTGTTTTGTTTGATCTTTTAGTTCATTTTCAGGGTAACCCTATCCAACCATGTCATCACAATGGGGTTTTGCTTCAGCATTTAATTAACAAGATGCATGAAACGTATCATTTCGAGGGGCTTGTTTAAATCGAAATGAGGGCAGATATGAGTGTTATGTTTGCAACACTTTTGAAATTCAGTCTGATTCCATGAATGCGTTTGTTTGGGCTTCATGTTGCATGATATTACCACATTAATGGTGGTCTAAGAGTATTAAAAGCCTGCACTGTTATACATTCTCATGGTAAAGCTGAGCTATTTTTATTTTTTTATTTGACCGTATTCTCTCTAATCAGACTGTTAGTCACCGCATCTGTGCTAAACAAGCACAAGCGATGCTCATGACATGAAGTCATGTTTTTTTCATTAGATTTCAGCTCTAGTCAACTGTCTTCCATGTAAACATGTAAAACACTAAATAGTACAACAGAGTGAGTCTTTATTTAGACATAATATCTATTTCCAACATAGCCACTGTGACTAGACCAAAGTAACGTAACATTTCTTTTTTGTTTTTGTTTTTTTGTAGCATTTTTTTGTTTGTTTTGTGAGCTTTTTATATTCTTTGCATTTTCATTCACTCAAAGTATGTAGTTCCCCATGTATATTTTTATGTGTACAGTTCTTGTACAAATGACAGTGTTTTTAATTAAAAAGCAAGTTGTCACACCTTAACCCTCCTGTTGTCCTCATTTTCTGTATACACCCTTTGTCCTCCGGGTCAAAATGACCCGTCTCCACTAAATTCCCAATATAAGCAGCTTAATTGAATTTTAAACACCAAATTTCATCTTGTATATTGTCATTCACCACAAAATGTGTGAATACTTGAGTTTTCCCTCTCCACTTGAATTTCTATAGCTTAAGAAAGGGAAAAAAATGTGCAAAAAGGAGTTTCGAATGCATTTTTATTCATCTCAATGACTCATTTTCTTTTACTTTTCTCCAGTGAACAATTTAAGAGAATGTACAATACAAAAATATGAAAAATAACATAACCCATTCAACTAATTAGCACATGTAGGGCAGAATGCAAGTGCACAGCCTTTGCAGATATATTTCTTACACCTGCAGCACACAGTATGTGTTTTACAGTCCTTCTTTTGAGGGCAGAACTGACATCTCTTCCTCTAACTTGCCCTAGCTGGGGAAGTGGCTGTGGTAGATGGATCCTCAGGTTGATCAGGAGCTGCTGCACTCTGAATAGCTTTCATGACTGCTGCTGAGGCTTCTGTGCGGGGAACATGCTTCCTTCTTTCAATGAGTGGAGTTACAAGTGCCTTTCCAAGHTGCTCCAGGAACACCCTTCTCAGAACGGCATTGTAGGAGGACACATCAATGATGTGGAAGATGACCAGGGGCCAGCGGGAAGTCATTCTTCTGCAGCTATATGTTCCAATCACCTTATCTAGGTTGTCCACACCTCCTTTGTTGCGGTTGTATTCCAGGATGATGATTGGCTTCCTGTCCTCACGATCACTAATGTTGCCGTCTTTGTGCAGTGTGCTCAGAAGAACTATATTCTTGTTTTTCTTTGGGAGGTAGGAAACTACAGTGGTGGTAGACGTGAAGGCATACTTTGAGGAAAAGACCTCTCTCTCCTTTGACGCAAGCAGTGCAGGTGGGAGCTCAGGCTTGTTCTTTCGAACTGTACCAACCATGGTGATCTTCCTCTTCAGGAGCTGCTGTCCGAGTTCATAAGAGGTGAAGAAATTGTCACATGTCACATTRTGACCCCTCAGTCCCTCTGTCACATCAAGCACAACTCGCAACCCCTGGTTCTTCTCTGGGCATCCACTGGTTGACTTCCCAGCATAGACTTGCATTTTCCAAGCATAGCTTGATTTGGCATCGCAAGCCATCCATGACTTGATCCCATATTTTGCTGGCTTGCTGGGCATATACTGCCGGAAAGGACAACGACCTTTGGACAAAAGACATTAGCATCAGTGATTAGTATCAGTGTCACAGAAAACAGTCAAAGAAATCAATAGTGAAAATCACTTTTATTACAAATATGAAAACAGATTACCTCTAAATGGAACCAGTTGCTCATCCACTGTTATGTCAGGCCCTGGATTGTAGAGGTAGGGCAACCGCTCCACCCACTTGTCCCATACCTCTCTTATGGCTGCAAGTTTGTCTGTCACACGTCTTGCTGGTCTTGATTCACGGTCATCAAATCGTATCAGTCTTGAGTAGGTGTGAAAGAGTTTGAGTGGCATTGTGGCTCGGAAAATTGGCCTTCCACTCTCTGCATCCCATAGACTAGCTGCAGCTTCACCTCGGGACCTGTATACACCTGCTAGTATTAGCAGCCCTAAATAGGCCTGGAGGTCAACCTCATCCATCTTTTTCCAGCTGTCTCCATATTTGCGAAAACCCTCCAAATTTGTCATCTCCAGGATTAATTTTTCTATTGCTGGTGTGATGAACAGGTGGAATGTAGAAACAATATCATGGGCATGAGAAACGGCATACCTTGTGGGTCCTAGGGTCATCTTTATGATATTTTGTTCTGCATGCCTGCTGTGTTGGTCATATGCCACTGAGGACCATGCTATTTTGCCATTTTTTGAAAGGAAAGTCTCACTTTCAGCTTCAGGGTTTTCTTCTTCTTCTGAAGATGATTCATCATGCTCTGGGTTGTATTCCTCTCCATCTTCTTCTTCGGATACATCCTCTACTTCCTCTTCTGAATCAGAGTTGACTTGCTGGACATGTGAGAAAATCACCTCTAAAGCCTCTTCAGTGTTATAAHGCACACTCATGGCTTCAGCACAGACACAATTCGGGGTCCTGTTATGCAGCACCTTTATATTCTCTTGAAATAACAGGTGGTCTTCTGAAGTCTGTGAGAACACCACCTGATTTGCCTTGTTTACTTTTGCTACTGATTGATCTGAGACACATCTAAAACTTTGTAACATTCTGTGGTTTGTAAATAACTCTGTGACCTTGATTTCAACTCTATTTGCCTCACGGGTCATTTTGACCCGAAGACCATCTTTGTACTTTTTTTTGTACAGCTTACATGGAAATGTGAATAAAAGCAACATTTAACTTTTTCTATTGTTTTGGCCAATCTAGGCAAAGTCTTAAAATCTCAAGTTAAAAAAATAACATTTAGGGGATTTTTTGGGGGGTTTTAACACAGTGGCGGGTCATTTTGACCCGAAGACAACAGGAGGGTTAAAATATTTTGTTGTGTGTTTTTTTTTTTCTTTCGGGGTTAATTATAACACAGGTGCACAAAATGTTCGGTATTCTCTTTTCCTTTTGCTTTAATCAGAAATAGACCACATAATAGTGCTGGAAAGTTTGCAAATAATTAAGTGTTGTTATTTCTGCATGAATATAGGCTTAAAAAAATCAGATTTTTGGCCAAAAACTAGACAAATGCAGCTAAAACCAGTAGGTTTGATGGTTGAGAAATTTACCTCAGATTAAATGCTTTATCTTAAAACCATATGAGGAATACTTTAACTGTGTTTTTCACCTTCTCGTGCACAGAAATAAGGCACAATGCACAGTAAATTCTCCGCCACCAGCTTCCTTCATCGCTCATGTTTTTCCAGCTTCTTCACACGTCTGCATCGGCTCTGTCCACATCACGGCGTAATAAAGCCGTTAAAGTGGCGAACTGGTTCAGAGCACAGAAGAGAACACAAAAATACTGAGCAGCAATTTGGGATAATCTCCCTCAGACATCCTCTGAAAAAGCAAACTATCAGTTTTGACATAATACAGGAGTTTAATCTGGGTATAAATCTATAAATTTCATAACATGAGCCGGGATAATCTCCTTCTGGCAGATATTTTTGTGGCTGCTGGGCTGAAAAAGTGCAGACTGCTGTCAGACGGCGCTCAGAGGTCAGAGGGAGGCTGTCGTGTGTTGAACAGTGGCACACTTTCAACCAGAGCCATGCATATGAATCACATAATCTTATCATAAACCTCCCTTTGAAAAAAAAAAAGACAGTCCGTCAGTTGAGCTCATGTGCAACGTATGCGTTTAGTAAAATGTTTGCTAAAAATGCAATAAACGTCAAATTTGGAAACATTTAGGCATTATGGCAAAGGTGATTTCTATATTCTTTTCCCACGTTTCCTCTCCTGGGACGGATCTTGTGTTTCAGTCTCACACGAGTCGCGGGTTTTTTGCTTGGGTCCGAGCAGAACTCTGGCTTCATATGGGACTGGTGGGGAAGAAGGAAACCTTTGGGACCTTGACCACGAAAACCATGGAGTCTTTGGCCTTGTTGCTGAAGGAACGGCGAACGACGTCCACAGCCTGTTGATGAGTGACTCCCTGCAGGCTCTCGCCGTCCACGGACAGCAGCTCGTACCCGGCCTGCAAACGAAAAGGCAAGTAAAGATGAGGGGGGTAAAAGTATTTATTTATCAGCTGTTATTGTGTTTCCAAATGAGATTCTAGGTCACGTCTGAAAAAACTGGGGACTTTCCCTTTAATGTATGCTGCACACTGACGGCTGATGCTAGTGTACGTATAAAGTTTCCCCTTCAGCAGATGGTCAGTTAAAAAAAAACACACACACACACCTGCACAGACACGCACGGTTCAAGAGCATTCACTGTTTCCTGCAAACTCTGAGCAGCCACTCGCACATATTTGCAGCCCCGAAGAGAGGAATTTCCTCTGATGTCATCAGCTTTTGTGAAGGATGCACCTGCCTCGTGTGCTCAGTATCAGTCAAGGTTAGCAGCAGATGAACACAAAGGCACACAAGGCCGATGGCCATTGTTGTATCTGCAGCACTCAGGTCTTTTTTCCCCTTCCTTTTTCCTTTCCAATCATTACATACAATCATTTCCCCCGTCATTCTTCACCTGCAGATTCTATCAAATGATCCAAACATGTTTACATTAGAAGTCGCTGCCGTCATACGGTCAACTTCAAAACAAACTCAGTTTTCCATGAGGACAGTAACAAAAGTAAATAATTAGTTTAGCTAAAGAAGAATAAAAAGTGCTTTTAAGCAAAGGTGTCAAGTAAGAAAGTACAAATACTTTCACACAATTGCTGTATCTGTACTTTCTATTTCTTACTTTACTGTAAAAAATATTTTATTTCTATCATTCTGCCAAAGCCACCCCAACAGATATACTCTATGAAGCAGCCTAGTGTATCTCAAACATTATAATCATTACAGACTTTAGAAAAAATGTATTTTGAGGAGGTGGGTTTATAGACCCCTGTGACATAGCCTAAGTTTTTATACTCAAAGATTTAACACTACTTTTACTTTTGTACTTTCAGTATTTTAAACCCAGTATTTTTACCCTTGAGTAAAAAGCTTGAGTTGATACTTCAACTTCTACAGAAGTCTTTTAAATCCTATTTTCTGTACTTCTACCTGAATGAAAGTGACTATTGTTGACCTCTGCATTTAAGTAAATATTCTTAACACGTTATCATGACCTAATATGACAGCAACAAACAACACGAGATGTAAAAAAAGAAAGCAATAGGCAAGCTGTATGATATGATTTACAGTAGCTCCGTTAAAAAAATGCACAAATAGTATAGTTTTTTATCTTTTTGTTCCCCCATAGCTTTACGATTTGCACTAAACTGAAAGAAAAGGGACCCCTAAGTATGCTTCTTTGTTTGTTAAAAAAATTAATTGCAATATTTTTGCTAATTAGCACTAACGGTTGTTTGACCCTAGTTTAACTGGAAACAACTTTTAACAGTTGCTTTTAGACAGTCATCTACATGGAGAATGACAGGCTTTGACAGGCACTTATGAGAAGGAATGACTCTGCACACACACACCTATGTCTCTCTATCCTTGTGGGGACTTTCCATTGACTTCCATTCATTTTTTGGAAATTTTATATCCTAATCCTGACCATTTACCCTAAAACTAACCTACACTCGATTCACACCTTGGTCCTAAACCCAACCCCATCAGCCTCCGAAGTCGTGGGGACAGGGGGCTTTGGTCCCCACAAGGAGCACTCAGTCCCCACAAGGCTGCATTTTCCTGAAAAATCGTCCCCACCAAGTAGTAAAAACAAGGGCACATACACACGTTTAACATTCACAAGTTAAGAGCCTAGTGAGACAGGAGGAGTGTCATGTCCGCCTGCAGAGCAGCAGCAGATAAACTGAACCACAGAGCTGATTGTGAGGCTGAAACAACAGATAACAGAAATCTAAAACAAGCAGGTAAATTTGTGTCTGAGCTAAGAAACCAGCAACCTCTGTTTGTATAAGGTCTACAAGAAAACCCAGACTTTAAGTCCAATTATTCATTCCTATACCTTAACGAGCGTGTTTGGCAGTAGGCTGATAGTTAGCCTCTAATGAGTGACTGGGTGGACCGTATGTTTAAAAAGAAACGGGCCACCATCATCAGTAGCTATTAAGCAGCTGTGCAGGCAATACATTAGCAATACATTAGCAGAGCGGCGCCCGTGCTCCTCGTTAATAATGGAGCTGCTGCGCTACCTGAGACGGCGCTCCACTCATCCTCTCCTCGCCCCTCGGTGCACAGCCTCAGCGCCGCCACAGGCGTGTGCTCACACATCCAACATCGAGTCATAACCACGAGGCAGAGATCACCTGACAGGTACTTACAGTCCATCAGAACGGACACGGATGACTGACGAGCTTCAAATCTGCTCGTTCTCAATGTTTATGAGAGACACGTGAGAATATATTCATTCTTTTTAATGCCTTTTTTTACTTTTGTAAATTAAAACTCATTAATATTCTTATTAATTTAGTTATTTATTTATGGGGGTTGAACACTCACCTTCAGAGATTCGTTGGTAGAAGCCGCTCCTCCTGGGAAGACTTTTTCTATCTTTATAACGGGCTGAATCTTCGACTCTATACCTCCAGAGATACTTATACCTGGAAACAAATTAATCTATTAATAAAAAAAGTAGTTTTCACTGCTTGTATCTGGACAAATTAGTGAAATTAGAGGACATGATGTTTAAGTCATTATAATGCAATAAATTAGAGCTTGCTTCTGTAAGTGATGAGCTCTCTCATCTCTCTTTTGCCTATATTTCTAAATGTAGTAACACTCTATCTCAGGTTGTCATTTAGTTTTTATTTAAAAATTGAAACACTGCCTTTGCCTACAATCAGCCTGTCCTCAAAAGTGATCAGGAAACCCAGTAGTGAGAGCTCTAATGAGATTTAACAGGACAGATTTTTACCTTCTCTCCTCTATCCTTAAAATTCCTCTCCTGTCACTGAAAGGTTTGTCATATCCTACAGATCTCTTAGTACAGTATTATCCCAACAAAGCACTCTGCTCTGCGGCTGCAGGTTTACTTCTGCTTTCTAGAGTTTCTAAAAGTAGAACGAGGGCAGAACCTTCAGCTATCAGATTTCACCATTTGGGTTCAAAAGGCAGAGACGCTAAATAAATGTATTTACCCAGTGAATTCTTGGCCTTGGAGATGGTCAAAGAAGTGATCTCATATTCCTCAGGAGGCAGAGTTTCCCTCCTCTTTACGTTTTGATCAATCTGAGGAGGTCCGTTCACCTGCTGACCACTAGCTCTGCCTGTGGAGGGACTCCTCTCCCTCTGGGGTTCAAAAACATCAGCCAGAGGGGTTCTCCCTCTTCGCTGTGAGGGAACCCGCACACTGACCTCGGTGTAGCCCTCCTGCCCGGTTTGTCTCCCGTAAACGCTGTCGGGACTCCCCTCCCTCCTTGCTCTCCCGTGACCGTTCCTCACAGGCGACCTCCCGCGCTCGCGAAGGCCTTCTCCGCCGTCAGACACGGACAACAGGGAGGCCTCGTCGTGCCGCGGCGCCCCGTTCTCCCTCCTGTTCGGGGAGAGGTGAGGCCGGTACCCACGCTGGGCGCTGTGGGGCGACGCTGCGAGGAGGAGACTGTGGGAGGGCGAGGGGCTCGGGGAGCGGGAACGTGCAGTGAAGGAGGTGTAGCTGTCCACGGGTACGTCCAGCAGAGGGGTGAAGACACGGGACGGCGGCAGGTGGCCTGACTGCTGGCTGGCCAAACGAAGCCTCTCAAACTCGTCGATCAGCTGACGCTCGCGCTGAGAGTCGCTGACCGGCTGCAGGTGGAATCCACCCCTGTAGTCTGAACAAACACAGTAAAGAGTTTTAGTCTCCTCATTACATTGTAGCTTTAAGAGTGTTTTTGATGATTTTCAGTTCATTTCCCCTACGCCAGGGGTCTGCAACCTGCGGCTCTGGGGCCACATGGGGCTCTTTGGTCCCTCTGCAGTGGCTCTTTGAAAATGTGACCAAACATAACATAATGTTTTTTTTTTTGTTTTTATACCCACACCAGAACTCAATTTGTAAGCAAATACGTGATCAATACTATTAAATCAATACTATTAATGCAAAAAGTAAAACATGTTAGCTTATGCTAGCCTGTTGTTTACTTAAATAATCTAACTTTTGTCTTTCTCTCAAATCCATCAGAATTACCTTTAAAGAATATTAAAAACTACTTAATAAGAATTAGAAAAAAAGCCTGATAATTCAGTTGTACTATTTTTTATGAAATTAGGTAAAAACTATATAAAGTATTTTCTTGTTTACATGAGTATAGTCTTTTTATTTGTCCTGATGGGTAAAAATAACAATAAAAAATAAAATTCGCAATATAATTTTTAGTTTTGTAATGTCACTTCCAATGGCCGTAAAGGATCCCAAAAAGGCCTTGAAAAGACCCACAGACCACCAGTTGATAATCAAAGTTGTAGCTTATTTTGCGGCTCTGGACACATTTTATTCCTGTGTCAGTAGCAGAAATTACTCTTTTGATTGTAAAGGTTGCAGACCCCTGCCCTACGCAAATGCCTAGGTGAATATTTTTTTTAATCTGTAAAGCTAAAGTTTATATTGAAATAAACTGTATACAGTGTCTTTTTAGGGCTTTAATGATCAATTATTTCATCTTTTTCTACTGTTACATTTACACACATTATTCAAACCCCTAGTTCACACATTTACACTCACCAGCAGAGGGCAGCACACACACACTCTGCCTTTGTTTTAACAAATATCACTCTTATGAACCACTTTTAAATGCAAATAATAGATGCTCTTTAAAAAAAACACTTAAGCTCAAAAGCAACACATGATATTTTTATTTTCTTGCGACAGTTTCAAATAAAATCGCTGCTTTGTGGCAGGTTGTACGCCCTGCTCACAATCATTTTGCTAAACCATATTCCTTCTAAAAAATATTTTCTAAAATACAGCATCTACATTACCCAGAAAGCAACAGTGACCTTTAATTGTGTCTAAATGTCTCTTGGGTGAAGCAAACGAAGCTGCAGTTTTAAGAAAACAGTGGAGTTAGCCTGCAGCTTGATTGACACTATTAAGACAAACCCTCTAACTCTGATTGGCTGTTTCTGAAGAGGAGCTGTGTATTTCTGCAAATGGCTGTAGGGAGGAGCTTTATTTGTTTTTTTTCACAGATTATGTGTCATATGCATCTGTCAGGACATAGTGACAGCTTTTAAAAAATATGCAAAAGATACATTTTTATAAGTTAGCTACTGCACCTTTAAAGCATCTTTGTATTAAAGTGTCACGAGCGCGAGATCTGCATGTCTCTGTCCTTAAGATGTGACACAAGCTTCTGCTTTTAAAGCCGGCACAGGAGACCAGAGAGTGGAAGCATAATGGTGTCATAAATGTTTCGTAAGTTATTAAGAGCTGAGGTCGCATTTGAGAATTGTAGCTCAAAGACTAGAGGTGGTCTAGTTAGACAAATAGAGAAATGTTTTTTTTTTTAAAAAAGAAAGGGAAAGGAAGCGATCCAGATCACATACCTGGGACAGGGGTGATGAGGTGACGTCGAGGGGTTCCACTGCGAGGCGAGCGCAGGGCTGGAGAGCGCACTGGAAAAAGAAAGATATCACCAGAGTTGTCAGACGTCTACTTTTTTCCCCATTCCTTGAAAACATGAACCCTAAAGTGGTGTGAGGTTTGTTTTTCGGCTTACTAGAGCGACTCTTGAGGATGTCGTACGCCTCGAGCTCAAAAGGCATCACCATGCTGTCAAAACGACCCAACTCTGTGGTCGGGATCAACATTCTGCAAAGGACAGAACCACAGTCTGTCAGCTCATTTGTTCACGGTACACATTTTTAAATTCTTTTTAAATCTTTAGTTTACCGGATCTCTCTGAGAAGCAGCAGCTTCTCTGGACGATCCAAGATAGCCAGAAGGGGACGCACCAAATCCTCGATCACACAGTCTGATAAAAACTGCAAGAAAACTTTTTGATTAAAGCGCAAATTGGAAGACCGAATAAAGTTCATAATAACAAGGAGCATATATTTTTATTGTTCAGAAAATATGTTCAAAAGCATCAATGTATTTTTCTTGAGCTTGAAATTGCATTGTTTTTTTTTTTATTTTATCCAAGCTTTAATTTTCCTTAATTAAAATGTAAGTCTAAATAGACTTTACGCTGAAGTTGTTGAAGGAGTTGAGAAGCAGAATGAATAGAATAAAAAAAATCGGAGTTGGTGCATTTGATTTTAATTCTAAATGTCGGTCCGAATCTGTCTTTTGCCACAGCTGCTGCCAAACACAGCAGTCACCGAGGAACGATCCACAACACAGAGAACAACACAGAACACTCAGGGTTTCAAAGGGAACAGCTGAGCTCACCCGCCGACAGTGTCTCATCACGGCAGCCGCCTCATCCGGACTCAGCAGCTTCTTCGCCATGTCCTCCACGTGCTGCAGAGTCTCAGGATGGGGCAGTGGGCTGCCGGCGCGGGATTCCTTCGGAGAGGCGAAGAGCTGGAAGGGACGACTTCGCTCCTTCTCTAAGAGTTAGGTTCACAAACAGAATAAAAGATGTTGATACAGAAACCTGACACCACCTTTATTTACTATATGTTTCTATTAGGACATTGTTTTGTCTTTTATTCGTTTCTTTAGCTTAACCCAGACCAGAACCCATTAGGACTGGTCTTTGGTGCCCTTAATGACAACTGGTCCTGATAAAAACAAACCAGGAAAAAAGCCTAAAAAGTAACAAAAAGAGAACTGGCCTCATGCAGGATAAGCTAAAACCACAACAATAAATCCAGCAAAGTGAACACATTTAAACTGTATACAGTGATCTAATCGGGGAGCTCAAACTGCTAACCTGAAAGTGGTTCAAGATTTAAATGCTGCCTATATGTTTTACCTGTTTTGTCTTAAAATAGTAAATATAAAATCAATCTGCTTTATTTTGCTTTGTGTGAAAATAGAAGCTGAAGCGTTTTGACAGAAAACTCACCACTGCGAGACGCCGACTTGGAGCGACTCTTCTCTTTGAGCTCCTTCTTGAACAACAAGTTGACAAATGTTTTGGAGCGCTGCAGGTTTGTTTTGCCTTCTGCTGATCCTTTCTCCTTCTGCTGTCTCTTTTTCTTCTGTCTGTCCTCTAAAAAGTGAAATAAAACAAAGATGGCTAAGTCTCTTTGAATAAAAAGAAACTTGCATTAGTTAAAAAGAGCAAATTCTGCAACCCCGGGACATTCTGCGGATGTGATTGGTGTTGAAAACTAGCCTTTGTGCTACCGCATGTTAAACCGTTAGCTGGTGATGCTTCGCTCTGACAAATTGTTTATTCCTCTTCTAGTCAGCCCCTCTGTGCAGTGCAGTAAATCGGTGTGGAAAGAAACACATTTGTTCTGATAAATTGCAGCTACGCTAATCTGAACAGCCTCCACCTCCTCCTTTATTGAAAGCACTACAGTAAAGTGCTTCTGCATATAAAACAAATATCCAGTCGCCCCAGGCGCACACCGGGTCCTGCAGGTCTGGATGAGCTGGAGAAATTGAAAGAGAAAGACTAATAACTCAACTGATCCCGCAAAGCTTGGACAAATATTTCTCGGTGTTCTTGTCCTTTGTCATTTCTCGCAGGAGCACGAGTGAGTTTAAAGGAAAAGGATTAATCTGCGCTGAGTTTAATTGACCACATCAGTCAGGCTTACTTTCTGGGAGGACGCCACAAGTGATTCATTAAAACTCAACTGGGATTTTTTTCAGTTTGAGTTCAGATCCCACCTGACTCGGTGATGTGGCTCTGGGAGCGTCGAATTGGCTTGCGTGGTTTGCTCAGCGCCATCAGAGCTTGCGTTTTAGGCGAGTGTCTCTCGGCATCCTGGCCACCAGCCGACAACGTCCTCGCCCGGCCTCGCCCTCCGTCCCTGGCTCCCGCGTCCTTCGGCCCCTCTCCTTTCCCACGTATGACCGTGTCCCTCAGCAGAACCGTTTCACCGACGGTCCGCCTGGTTTCTGTGCCGGCCGGCCTGTCAGAGTCGGGCCTGTTGGGCGGCTGGCGGTCCGGGACGTTTGGAACGTGAGGTTCAGTCTGCATGGCGGTGTCAGCGGTGCGCTCGGAGCCACTCGGACGTCTGGAGCGGTCCTCTGTGGAGATGGCAACGTCGACCATCTCGGAGCCGAAGACAGGAGGGAAAAGGACCTGGGAGAGTCCGCTGAGGGAGCTGAGGGGGGTGCTGGAGGACAGGGAGGACACGGAGGAGTTGGAGTCTGAACCATGTGAAGATGGTGCAGGGCCACCGTTGGCTACTGTGGAAAACAATTCATAAACACGAGTATACTGGATTAGTGTGAAACTCAAACTCTAACAAATATTCTCTAGTTTTATACAATCTGCTTTGTTTCGATCCAAACCTCATGTCCTTTAATGCATTAGAAATGAACATTGAATAAGTTATTTTTTCACAACCTGTTGAACCAGGTGTCAGAACATGCTTTGGTCCAACAGTCTAATATGCTGGGACACATTAGATTACATGTAACCAACAATAACCTATCGGTTGTTCAAACCTATTCTCTTTACGTCAAATCTGTTGTGTTTTGTTTTTCATACATTTATCCAGCCAGCCGTACTCTGCCACCATCTCCTTGTAGGCGGGGTACCGCCCAGCTTCCTGTGGAAAAATAAAATAAAATAAATAAATATATTTCAGCAAGACCCACGCAACCCTGAAAAGGAAGAAGCGTATACAGAAGATGGATGGATGGATGGATGGATGGATGGATGGATGGATGGATGGATGGATGGATGGATGGATGGATGGATGGATGGATGGATGGATATTTCAGCAAGATGTGGCAGTGTTAGAACACAAGATGTCAGTAGGTTTTCTTGATGATTTGCATAAAAAAACTTAAAGAGCCTGTGACGTGCAAATATCAAATCCAAAAAAAGTCAAATAAAGCATCTTTATATTTAAGAAACTTGGCATAATTCACACCATTTTACCTGTTTTGTCACATATTTTCTTTTGAATTTGGTTGAGCCAAAGTGAAACAGGAAGTGACATAAAAGGGGAACTCTTTCAGAAATATAGTCCTCCCTGGTCTTTGTTTGTTGAAATATTATTTGAACTTTGACTCTTCTTTATCTCTCTCTGATAGTGACTCAAAATAATAATAATAAAAAACATCAGATCCAGCTCTGCGTTGTTACCATTTTAGCTACTGTATGTCCTGTTTATATGCAAACATTCCCCTTTGACATCATTTCCTGTTACTTCACATGTAAATATCTTAACAACTGTACATCTCAGCGGTGTGAATTCTTCTAATTATATTTTTTGCAATATGTTATCAATATTATCTGTCCAAAATGACATTTGATTGATTTTACAAAAAATTGATGTCACGGGCACTTTAAGCTTTTGTGTTTATGAAAAGATTACCAACATGTAGATGTGAAGAATGTACTTGAGTTAAGATTAGAGGATCCCTCTTCTCAAACCCTCAAGTGTACCAAAAATATCTCAGATTAAACTCAGAATAAAGGATTTATCTGTGCTTGGAGTAATTATTTGCCTCGACAATGCACAGCTTTAATTCCAAGCGATAACTCTCGTGGTTTATCTCCGAACCTTGGCTGTCCAGGTGTGAGAGAGTTTAATAACCGAGGTTAATCCCTGCTCTGCTATACATGTCTCTAATCTATAAGCGGGTCAAATACAGGACACCGTGAAGTCATAAAATTAGGCTTTCTGTTGATTATAACCTGATCCCAGCCTGCCTTTAAATAATGAACGTTCTCCCTGGCTGTTTTTCACACATGGAACCTGAGATCAGAGGAGTAAAATGAGTCACACACACTCACACACACATGCATGATTCCTTTATCCAAAATGACACGGGTTAAGTGGCGTGGTCTTACAGACAGGCATGCAAACATAGATACTTATGGGGGAAACTGAAGCTGTCTGTTCAGCAGGGTCTGTCTTACTTAGAAGAACTAGTGTTGGTTAACATTTATTAAGTATCTGCACTCAAATATCCAACCAGCTGGTAAATTTACACAAAATAACTTACAGAAAGACAAATCTTTAGTAAGCCTTTACTGAATGGATCATTTTACCTATATACTGTATATATACTTAGCACAAAGTGTAAGGAAATTTGTGTTTAATAGCTTATTTATTTAGTGATGCTTCTTGGCAATAAATTTTATGAGTGGCAGCACCTGGGGGTACCAGAAGCTCAAAACAAGTGTCAATAGCAACAGTAAAAAAAAAAGCTGTTTGGTAGAGATTTAGCAGATTTACGCAGCCCACATACTCAGCTCTACTGCTCATCCCACAAATGCATGTTCCTTACAAATGTGGCACCATTAAAAAACGAACAGGTTTAAGTTTTATTGCCAAGAAGCATCGTTACAACAAAGAAATAAGCTACCAAACACAATATTCTTTTCTTTTTGTGTTAAGTTTATTTACAAGCTAAACTGCCTTGCTTGGTATGTTTTTTTTTTGTTGTTGTTTGTTTTTATTCTGTTATAGCAAAACTGGTCGTCTTTTACAACCGTTTTGCTCAAAATAGAATAAATCAAACATGTGTTTTTGTTGCTACATGCCGTCTAAGTGAATAATTTGCTGAAAACAATGATAAAAAGTAGCAAGAGATAATTTAATTATTAGAAATATGCTTTGTGTAAGCATGCTTGAAGCACAAAATGTCATAATCTGTGTTTATTTTCCTTTTCAGTGTTTCAGTGTTTCCCTGTGTTTCTCTGCCCTGCAGCCCGCCCTCGTTCACCTGTTTCCTCTTGTGTCTGCTCCAGGTGTTTCTTGTTGTGTGTTTCTTTATATTGTGTCCTGTCTTCAGTGTTTGTTGGTTCATTGTGCTGCTTCCCCCCAGCCTGTGGTGTCCTCCTGTTGCCTAGAAGTATTTGAGCTGCCTTGCCAGCTTTTTTTGTTTGCTTAATAAATCTTTTTGTTAACTTTTTGGATTTTTGCCTGCACCCTGGGTCTGCCTGCACACATCCTCACACAAAATGTCGTTGCAAGCTAGCTTTAATCCCTTTCTAAGACGTACATGGTTTTAAATTTGACACTGAGGTGATTTCCTCTCACCCTGATGGTCAACATGACGTGGGTGTGGCTCTTCAGGACCTCCACTGCATTGCTGTGGGTGATGTCTTCAAAGCTCACCCCGTTGGCTGCAAGTATCTGATCCCCCATTTTGAGGCCGTGCTGCTCTGCAAGCCCACCCGGGTCAAGCCTGAAGAGAAGACAGACGTTCAGGCTTATACAGACAAACCCACGTCGGCGATATAGACGTCTGTTAATCACTGCGTTAATTGTGTTTATTTGCTCCAAATTTCCCTTTCAACAGTGACACGCTTCAACTCTTGCGTTTGTGTTCATACTTTGAGACATAAATGCCAAGTCCAAACTCTTTGCCTCCTCTGATGTTGAAGCCCAGGCAGTAGTCGTCCGAGGTGGTGAAAAGGTGGATGATCCGGCGGAGAGCGCTGTCCGAACCGGTCTCCGATGGCGTCCGACCGGTCTCCTCCACCACCATCCGCCGGTGAATTAGATCCACCCTGTGCACACGTGCAAAAAGACTTCACTGCTGCTCTAGCCACTGCACTCAAATCTGTCAGTATTGGTTAATCAAAAGTGCCATAAAGGTCACAGCAGTAATCCATCCACTGCTGCCACATGAAACCAAGATAGAGTAGATCCCCCAAAAGAGAGAGAACCAGAACCAGAGGGAGCTAAAGAGGGCAGTAGGCTCATGAAGAGTTTAAAATCTATAAATGTGCATGAAAAAGTCTGAGCGGCCTCCTCTCACCACGTGGTCTTTTCCTTCGAGTAGCGGATGCCGGGGATCTTCCCCACCCGTCTCACCACCATCCTCAGCCTGTTGTTGCCCGTCAGGACCTTCACCGCGCTGCTCATGGTGATGCTCTCCAGGCTGACCCCGTTCACCTCCACCAGCTTGTCGCCCACTGTCAGCCCAGCCTGCGCTGCGAAACGGAGACAAAACTCAGCTCGACAAATACGTGTTGTAAAGTGGCGTTTTGTGGCACCTTTGGCTTTCCGTAGTCCTTACCCGCAGAGCTGTCATCCTCGACCTTGCTGACAAATATGCCCAGCCCATGCTCAGAACCCCCGCGGACACTGAAACCAAGACGCCCATCTGGGCTCTTATCTACTGTCACTGTGTGGATGTCTTCACTGTCATCCCCTCCTGGAAATACACAAACCAAGACAAAAGTATCACTCAAGACAAGCACTGATTGATAAGTTAAGTGTAAAATGTTGTCACGCTGAAACTTCACCGTCGACATCCGCGTTGATGAGAATGACCCTGCCCATCGGCGAGGAGGACCTGCGTCTGTAGCGCTGCTGCTTCTTCAGCATGTAGCGCGTGGTGCTCTGGGAACCCCCGCCCTGGCCTCCGATGTTGAAGTGGGGGTGCCCGCCTCCGTTTGTCATCTCTCTCCAGGACGGAGAGTGAAACGAGTCGGCCATGATGGGTGTCTGGAAGCACTTCCTTTAGTCATCCAGGCACAGGGGTGTCTGGGTTCACCTGTCAGGATGGAGGCGCTGCAGGCTGGGGTTCAGGGGGAGCAGATGGGTTTAAAACAACTGAGTGTTTTGGCCTTGTTGGGACCAAACTAGTTTACGGAATACTGGAAGTGGTGCATGGAGCATGTGATTTATATGGGTAAGAATGCAGATCTTCTCTGAAACTGTTTGCAAACAGATTAAGGATGTGAAAAATGAGTCCATCATGACCAAAAAGTACACCCCAAGACTGATTCCTAACATTTGTAGGTGAAAGACGATGTAATCCACTCATCTTCTTTGAAACCATCTCATTACAGCCTTATTTGCAAGAGCTGCATCTGAGAAGACGGACCCGTCTGTGGAGCAGTTGGCAGAGCATGTCGAGTCCTCTTGGGTCATGTTTAATTAAATGGATATCGCCTGTGAAAAGAAAAAAGAAATGTGGTGATAAGTAGCCTCAGGTGTTGCATATGAGATGTAGGAATTTACTAAATGTGGTCCAGCATTCAAAAAAAGGTTTGCGGTCTCCAAAACTTTGGCTCTTCAAAAAACTAAAGATGCTGTGTTTTCTGTTAAAAAGTTGTACTGAGTGCTGAATGACTGCTGGAATTTGGTAAAGAAGGCGCAGCTTGTTAAAGCTAAAAAAAGCAAAACAGCTGAAAGCTAAAAGTAACAAAGTGCTATCTAAAAGCTAAAAAGAAGCAAAATGCTACCAAAAAATGGCAAAACACTAACAGCTTAAATTAGCAATAGGACAGCTTAAAGCTAGAGGTAGAAAATTGTAGCTAGAAGCTTAAAGCAGCTAAAAGTTACTTAACATATTGTAGCAATAGTTTAGATAAAAGCATCAAAGCTACAAGGTAAGAGTAAAACTGTCACTAAAAGTGGCACATGGTCAGCAAAAGTAGCAGAATGGTAGCTATAAATAAGAGTGGCTCAATAAGACAAAAATAGAGTACAGCTGAAGCAGATTTCAGTGTATTTTTTTAGAAAAATGATTGCAGTTAAAGTTAAAACCACTAAAAGAATAAAAACTACAGAAGTTGGAGCAGCCATCTCCTGAATGAGCTGAAGGTTTTGACATATGAATGAATAAAATAGCACAAATTATGTAGATGTAGCTGAATTAGGTTACAAAAAGCGCTGCTGACTCAGCATGTACATATTAAAAATGCTGCTGTGTTCAGCACCAAGGACAGAGACGTCACAACAACTTCACCTTGTCTGTTCACGTTTAACTTCCCACTACGACCAACAACAACACAATTTAGAACAACTTGTAAACAAACTTTATATAGACAACAATATCCCCTCCACGACGGTCTATGTAGTTAAATTTCGGTCTAAGTTTAAACTTTTTCAGGAGTGAAATACTGCCATTCGTAATAAAAATAAATGTATTTTAAGTAAAGATAAGAAACCTTTACCTGCTGGGTCCTTGTTGGAGCTGCTTCCTGCTCCTCTTCAGGCGCATTATTGAACTCCTCTGGAGGATTAGCGCCTCCTCATCTGTTCTCCAGGAGACCATTGTTGTTTTAGGAGGTGTAAGCTCGTTATGAAAGCTCCTGCAGCTGTGCAGGGATGATTAGGCTCTTGTTACGCAAACATGTGTGTCTATTCCAGTGTGTTTTAACAAAACTAGTCAAAAAATGTACTTTTCTGAAACTTTGCATGTCTTCGAGCTGCAGAAATATTGATGAAACTTGATTCTTAGAAAGTTGGATAAACAGCACCACCTAGTGGCCAACTTTACAGCATACAGATTAAAATTTATGACACCTTTCTTAGGAGCTTTGCCATATTTATCCTTATGGATATCATTTACAGTTCATTATTTCGTTATTTTTCAAACATTAATATCTGGTTTCTTTAAAACACGATTGGACATGTCTAAACCTAAACATGTCAACCATGCTTGAAAATTGTAGTCACGCTGCAAAGAAATATTATTTATTTTATTTCAAACTATAACACAAACTGCAAACATTTACAAATCTCAGCAAAGCTTTTCAAGAGCCTGGTTTACAATTTAAAAAAAACTCGAGAGTAAAATGACGTCAAGCCACTGAACTAATTTAACCAATCATGTGTCTCCCTCTCTCCCACACCTACTCAGCTTCCTCTTGACAAACCCCGCCTCCTTCGTGTCCCTGCATGGTGTTGCATTCGCGTAACATCCAAAAACCTCATTATTTAACTTCAATTATTTAATATAGCCATGCTATTTTAATTTTTATTGAATTTCTTATGCGATATCAACATAATATATTTCCTGTTTGTTGCCTAATATGACAAAAGGATGTGTTACGTGTCAACAGTTCTAATTCCGAGTGCTTCAAGAATGTAAACATTTGTTTGTGCGAGATACGTTCCATCAATTTATTTTGTACAAAAGTTTTCAGTAGCTCTTATAAAAGTATGTGGACCTTTTGTCAATTAATTCTACCAAATAAAATCCTCTTAGGTTAATTTAACCAGCTCTACCCGGGGATAAAGTTGTATTTTACAATTTTTTTCAAGAGTACTTTAAGGCATCGTAGGTCCACCCGGTGGCGCTGTGATATTGAGAGGTCATACATTTTGAAAAAAAAAAACAAAGGTATTATAACAGGTACGTTTTGGTATTGACCTTGGGATTTTATCTGAATATTTTCAACCACATTCCGAATAAGTTCACTTTTACTTCGTTTCGAAATGGGCTCTCCCTTAGCTAACTGTGCTAGCATTAGCTTGTGCGAATCATCATCTGGCTAGCCGCGAGCTGCTGGCTGTTGTTTGTAAATGTTTCGATCAATCTATCGTAACATTAAAAGTGGTGGGAATTTATGTTTGTTTTATAGTTCTGACGTACTGTTTACGTAATCCAATGCGTGAGTTTCGTCGGTACTGTTAGGGTAACTTGTTAGCTTTTTGGCTACTTTGCTAAGAGAGTAGCATTTTGATACTCCTCCAGTCCCATCTGTCATACATAACTGCCTCATCTTCTGTTTAAACCATGAAGAAGTCACACTGTTCAACCATGGCTGTTTTCACATTTATAATACATCTTAGTAAGCGCTAGTTGTGTGTTAGTCTTATTAACTGCGTTTTAGTTATAATTTATCACTACTCTAGACTCATGAATTTGTTGCTTGTAGTTATTTTTTTAATCTTGAGCTTGCAGTCACAACTGTCACAAGCCATTTTATTAGTAATAAATGTTGTATTGAAAGAAGAAAACAACATGTAAAACACAAAACAAGTTAATTATTTCTGGTAAACCTGTAAAACAGGTTAGAAAATACTACAAGGGGTCATTTTGGCAGAAATAACCACGTGACAGGTGGAGTGCCGGTAGTGTTGGGGGAAGCTCTCTGTGACAGCAGAGCTTATATGTGGCACAGTTGTTTATTATAATAATTTTACTAGCAAATCAAAATGACAAAAATATTTAAAAGATTGTCTTCTCTTTAGTTAATGCTTTGTTGAATTGAAGTTCTCAGAAAATAAAATCCCCCCCTTTTTTTGTGCGCAACAAATTAACAGTTTTTCCCACTTTTTAGACCAGAACTAGGATGTCTGGAGAGTTGTCCCTTGGCATAAACATTAAGGAGCCAAGATGGGACCAAGGGACCTTCATGGGGCGTGCCAAGCACTTCTTCATGGTCACAGACCCCAGGAACGTCCTGCTGTCCTCTGAGACTCTCGAGGAGGCCAAAGTGATCGTGGAGAACTACAGGTGAGCTCAGGAGATGGATGGAGTCCGAAAGAATGCGTAAATTTAAACTTGTGATGCTGCTTGATGCAGGTTTTTCTTTTCAGTGATGTAAAACTAAATGGTTGGCTCAACACACGTTTTCAGCATAAATGTTAGACGGACAAAAAGCACCACTCTTTCTATTGTTTTTCTTTTGTTTCAGAGCAGGGGTTGTAAAACCTGGCTTGACAGAGGATGAACTCTGGAGAGCCAAATATGTTTATGACTCTGCCTTCCACCCCGACACGGGAGAGAAGATGTTTGTGATCGGCCGGATGTCTGCTCAGGTGCCAATGAACATGTCCATCACAGGCTGCATGCTCACCTTCTACAGGTACCAGCAGAGGTTCTAACAGCTGCACATTATAAAAACGATTTTGTTTACAGTTACATAATCACATTTTAACAAACTGATGCGTTACCATTCTTGCTTGACTGCAGTGTGAACTGCAATACAGCTGAGTATAAAGATAGTTTAATCTGCACACAGTGAAAATCCTCTTATAGAAAGAAAAATGTCATCCTAACTGCTGAAAACTGATAACTCCCTCCCCAACCTTTTTCTTTTTTAAAAGCATCAAAAAATAAATAAATACGAAAAGGTTTTTATGTTATCCGAAAAATATTTTGCTTGTAAAGAAATTTGATGAAATAAGTTAGAAAGTGTATACACTGGATAAACACTGTCGTGAAAAAAGAAAGTACGCAATCCATTAAAACTAAAATAATGTGTGTTTATGGAATAATGCAGGTTTTAAAGTTCATGCATTTGTGCTCATGACATTTATTAAATATTTTTAAAAGTTACATCATCTTATCTTTTTTTATACTTTTTTGTTTTATAGTTTTTGACATATTTTTATACTTTTATACGTTTTATGAATATTTTTAATTATGAAGCAGCTAGATGATAAATGTCTACATTTCTCCATTAGAGGGCGCCAACATTTCAAAATTCAGATTCACACAAATAAGTGTAGACAGTGTATTTATTCCACCTGTTAAAATTTTTATTGAAGGTACAAATATCTGATGAATGTCAACCAGTTTAACGCTTAAAGCTCATTATTTTATAAAACTGTCCTGTTGGAAGCTTAAGTGTAGTTAGACAAACTAATGTTATTATAAATATCCTAAAATCTCAGATAGTTTGTGAGTCTTCTTTTTTATTTTTTTTAAAGTGTAAAACAACTTAGTCAAGTTGAAATTAGATTAATGACAACTCAATATTTCACTTACGTTCCTGTAGATATTTGCTGCAGTGCAGATTATTAAATCTCTTTATCATGTTTTGATGCTGAGTAAAGTATAAACCCATGTGACGTCTAATCTAACGACATGACTAACACGTCTTTATCTTGAGCACGGAAATGTTAATGAAAGTAAAATTCCTGGTAAAGGATGAATCATTGCAGGCTATTCTGTGAAAGATTAGTTTAAGTTGCAGTTAGTGTGCATTCAAATTACAAATATCTCACTTGTAGATTGTGTTGAACTTGTATGCTCTTCTACAACAGTGTTAATGGTTTGCATAAAATTTTGTTTGCTGCAAATTAGCAGGTCCAAAAAACTAAAAAGAGTTGTGTAATTGCACTTCCGTTGACTCACTGTTTTCTTGTTTTTTTTTTTTTGTTTGTTTTTTTGCAGGACGACTCCAGCAGTCGTGTTCTGGCAGTGGGTCAATCAGTCCTTCAACGCTGTCGTGAATTACACCAACCGCAGCGGAGACGCTCCCATCACCGTGAAGTAGGGAGGACTTCTCACCTCACTTTCCCTCTGTCATTCGTGTCCTCCCCTCTTAAGTAGTGTCTGTAAGGAGGCTGTAGGAGCTGCTCTCCTCTCCCTCGCTGCGGTATTATGTTCCACTGTTTGGCATGTTCAGCCGTGTGTCACCGTAACCTCATGCTGACATCTGTAACACACTCCCTCCATGTCGGGTCAGCGTGCATTTGAGCACAGCCTTCATTGTGCTGCAGCAATGCATTCGATATGAAAGTGTGTGTGTGTGTGTGTGTGTGTGTG